TGTTGAGTTAACTGTCCGCTCCTTAAAGGAGTCCCATGAGTGGAGTCCTTGTTGCTTGCAGGGCAGCTCTCTCGAGTCAGGCAAAGGAATGACCACACTGGAGCCTCAGAAAAGTCAAGCCATAGAGTTGCACAATCTCTTTCTTTCTTAAACATCTTTCTGGAAGGTCACCCAGAAATATTTTCCTCTGACACCTAGCCATAGTCCTCGGGTTGAGTTTGCTGTAAGGCGTCAATGTACAGTTTATCAAAGAGTTGGGTTTCAAGTGCAAGGACGAGCAGCGTCACTCCAGAAATGAGTAAGGGCCTGAGGATGAATTTCTTTGTTTAACTCAGGGGTCTGCTGCCAATGTGACTGTGGTTTGGGGGCAAGCCTCAGGGTTTTCATCCGGGAGGAAAAACAGTCCCTATCTCCCAATGGAAATAAAATGTGTTGTCCTAAGAACCAAGAGACAATACCAGTGAGAGATCATTAAAAGTTGGATGAATTAATGAATTAATGGGTGGGAGCAGGGTAGAAAGGATGGAGGAATGGGGACAGGCTATGAGGGGGTGATATTTCTCTGAGAATTAAAAAAAAAATAGTTTTGGCATTTAGTGTCATGTTATATTTTGCATACTCAGAATAAAACCAGTAAGACTGAGGGGTAAGGGAGAAGAAATCTCTGCTGCTCCTTTAGGAAAACTGGAAATTGTCTCCATGATGATGATGATGGGAATGGTCGGTAAATAAAGGACATAAATAAAGGACACAAATTTTAAAGTCTTTCTGGCTTTTAAGGAATCTGATATAAGCTCTGAAATTGAAATCTACACAACCTGGAGTTCTACTCTAGTTTCCTCATCCCTGGAAATCTTTGAGAGTAGAATAGCCATACAAGTATTTGTATGATCCGAGAAAAGGGCTGACAATTGTGATGCTATAGACTGAATGCTTGTGCCCCCCCTCATTTGTATGTGGAAACATAACCCCCAATGTGCTGGTATTAGGTGGTGGGAGTCTTTGAGAGGTAATTAGGTCATGAAGGTGGAGCCCTCATGAATGGAATTAGTGCCCTTATAAAAGAGACCCTTGAGCCCGGCCGGGCGTGGCTCAGCCGTTGAGCATCGACCTAGGATCCAGGTGATCGGGGTTCGATTCCCGGTCAGGGCACATGCCTGGGTTGCGGGCCCAATTCCCAGTTGGGGGCTTGCAGGAGGCGGCCATCAATGACTCTCTCATCATTGATGTTTTTATCTCTCTCTCTCCCTCTCCTTTCCTCTCTCTGAAATCAATAAAGATATATATATAAAAAAAGAGACCCTTGAGAGATCCCTTGACCTTTCTGCCATGTGAGGAAACAGCAAGAATTTGGCCATCGATGAACCAGGAAGTGGGCTCTCACCAGAGCCAAATCGGTTGGCACCTTGATCTTGGACGTCCTAGCCTCTAGAACTGTGAGAAGTAAATTTATGTTGTTTACAAGCCATCTAGTCTACGGTATTTTGTTACAGCAGTATGGCTAGACTAAGACTCGTGAATAACCTTTTGGAGGTTGTGGGAGGTTATCAGGTCTGGATCCAGGTCAGTGGTAATGCAGGTGGTTTGTATCTGAATCTTGTTTTCTCATTTCCTATCTTCTCTCCTTAAACCTGCATGCTTCGTTCTTTCAACGTCTCCATGCCTGGTTTTCCCCAATAATGCATTAAGTCAGGAGTCTGTAAAATAATCTTTAAGTCCCAATACCATAACACCCAGTGTTGGGTACAGTGTTTTTGTAGGAGATAGCTGTAATCACATCTGGTAAAGGATCCAGAAAGATTTGAATCCAGAATTCAGAATATGTGATAAATGTATATGTTCAAGTCCCCATTGAGATAGTCCAATACCAAGTTGGCTTGTTGGCATGCAGAAGAATCCTGAGTAAACTTCACTTTGCTTCCTCCATTCCAGAAACTGGAATAAATGTAGTCAGGTCCTAGGAGAAAAGGTGCAGATCGGAGAAGACTGAGCAGCCAGGATCCAGTAAGGATCCAAAGTGATCATGGAAGTTCTGGCCCAAGCCCAGTTCCGCCTAAATCAGTGATGTCATGTTTAGGTTAATCTGAACTCCTTTTTTTGGACCCATCAGGCTACCTCATAACCTCCTTCCCAGGTCAGGAATCCTCCTAGGACATCTCCTGCCAGGAATACTTGTCCTTGTTATCCTTTACCCTCATTAATTAGCATCGGAAAAGAGAAAGAAAGAATAATTTGTCAAGGCATTCATCCCATGCAACTTCCCCCAAACATTTTATTCTTGTCTATTTTTAGCAATGACATCAGTTGGGTTAAATTTGGGTTTCTAATGAATCAATTCCATTCACATCACCTTTTATTAAATATGCCGAACAGATTTTACATTACAAAGCTACTTTTTTGATGAAATTTATTTAATAAGCTTATCCTTAGATCTTCAAGGATTTATAGATATTCAATAGAGTGAGAAAGGGCTGCCTCATTTTTTGGCTATATATTTAAAGAACAAATTTTGGAGAAGTCATTCAAGTAACATGTGTCTTCCCTCTTCAAAACCCTCCAAACTGCTTGGTGTACATGTGGACATCACAAAAGAGCTTTCTCCAGCCCTAAGTTCTTGAAAACCAGGAAGTGTTACACAGAACTCCAGTTCCCCAGAGCCCTGTCCTTTCAGATCTGAGCCATGTGTTATGATAAATAAATAATCTCTGAAGTGCTTATCTTGCTTCTGGCAAGGATATAACAATTCAGATGTACAGCTTCATAACGCCTACAGGAAAGAATTCAGGAGAAGAAAAAAAGAATCCATATCTTGGCATGAAAAAGGGAAAGGCACGCTAACAACAGAAATTACAAATATGGAGAGGATACGGGGGCGGCTTGACTCAGAGCAGGAGGGGAAAAAAAAAAGCCTGGAGATTTCAATACCAGTAGTTGGGTCTAAAGCCAAAAAAAAAGATGAACTCACAGATACTAAGAGTATTAAATAACTAGATGTTATGAGACTGTCATCATAACATCTGGTTATTTAATACTCTTATTTCTGAACCTCAGTCCTGTGGAATAAGCTGTTGTTTCTGGACTTAATCTACTTAGTGCTGAGCTTTCTGTGAGATGAAGCCATGCATCCCAGGTGTATTTTGAGGTTACAAAAAGTTACAGTGAGCCCCTGAAGTTAGTGTGACCAAAGCTGTTTGCCAAACTTAGTATTTGTAGACTCATGGCCCACATGACTTACCATTTACGGAAAAAGCCAACCCATGGAGATGAATGGGTGGCAATTACCCTATAGAGCCTCCTTGATGGAACTGGCTTGAATGCTACCCAACTGGATTTCACCAGTGATGGATATAAGAAATTGCCCTATTTAGGAAAAATGCCTTTAAATGTGGGAATCCTTTTACTTTTTCTAGGTTAGTGGAAAGCTCAGAAGTACATTTTATGTTTGATTGCTGTCATTCTTCTCAATCAGAATTTATTGCAATAGTTGTTCCCCCCCCCCCCTTTTTGGTTCATTTTGGTTCTTAAATACTTTCTACAACCTCATTTTTTTTTTTTTCTTGGAGTGGGTGGCATATAAAAAAGGTGCAATTAATTCAGAGATTTAAAATGTACCTCTTGAGACATGTGTTTCCAAATGGCACTGCATTCCCCTGGCAGAGTACTTGTTTCCTCTGTCTCCATTGTTTATTTACCCGAAGTGAGGAAGGACAAGAAAGCAGAACAGCAAATCCAAGGTGGAGGGTTTGCCTGGAAAATTCCCAGGAACAAACAACTAACAAAATAATACCCTCTGGAACTAAGATAGGTCCTATGGAGAACTATGGTTTCAATGTTCAAAGACTCTCTTATACAGAAACATAGTTGGAGCTGGTTTTAGCCAGTTCTTTCCTCAATGCTCAAGTAACAATTGAAATAAGAAATGTGCCCACAGGTGTTGTCTTCACCAGGCGCATGGAAATACGGATGTTTGCCTCCAGTCCCAGGCAAGAAGGCAGGGCTTGCAAACAACTTGCAGAAGGGGACCTGGGAGATTTCCCTACCCTGGTTGCTAGCCAAAGTCCCAGGTTTTTAGGACATCCATTAAAATCTTTGCATTTGTCTCAGATTGTCCATAATTATTAAGTAGGTTTAGATATTTCACAAATTGGAAGGTTATTCTTTAGATAAGAATACATGGGCTTTTGGGCTGTTTTCCTGCAAATGAGTAATTGTTGACTTTTTGTGTGTGTTGTTTTGAAGAGGAAAGGTCTGGTGCTCCCTAAGTGTGCCTGTGCATTTTAAAGGCAGGGTAACAAACTATAGTAGATAGTAGATGCCAATAGTGTGTTAAATGTATGAGTTTTTAAAACAAGAAAACTGAAGGAGCTTAGAACAGCAGGGTACTGGTCTGGGAATGGGTATTTCTGCTAGTACAGTAGGAACAGTGAGCTGTGGCCCACTGCCACCCCATCCATTCACCCCCTTTCCCTGCTCAGGGAGGCTGATCCTGCCCAGTGCATCACCCAAGCCCCCCGGCTTCTGGTGTCCCACTGGTCTTGGCCTGGAAATGACAGGTGAAAAACAGAGTACCATGCCAGCCCTTGCTTTTGTCTCCTTATTTCTTCTCTTAATCCTGCCCACAGCTTTCTGCGTGGTCCCCTGTTAAGGTTTTTACATTTGAACCATCTGGAGTGGATTCTATGTTCAGCCAGGCCTCTGACAGATACAAATAGTAACCAGCGTCAGCAAACTGGAAATGGTTTGGAGCAGTGGGGCTGAATTCCCAACCTGTGGGATCACACCCACCATGTCTGGTTCTTTCTGAGACTGCCGGGGGAGAGCGAAGCAGGGAAGGCTGGCACCAGCAAGCCCAGGCCAAGGGGCCTGCTGCTCTGTCTCATGAGAGTACGACCAGGACACTTCAAGGGCCCAGCTACTGCTTCAGAGTCTTCAATTCAGCTCTACCCACAAAGAATCTAATGTACTTGGGCATTTGGGGATAAAAGAGCTTTGCTCATGACTCAATCAAAAAAACTTTTAATGACTTTTTTTTTTTTTTTAAATAACCGTTTGACAGGAAGGAGAAGAGATCCCACAGCGGGCAGTGCGGCCAGAGTCCAGGCTTCATTCTGTTGGCAACACTGTCCTCAGGACCTTGACTGAGCTAGAAGTGTGCGTCACTGCGGAGAAAACGGAGGAACCGGAGCAGAGGGGGCCTGACAGGGCAATGACACCCTCAGCCCTTTATATTTATGTTTTATATATATTACATCCAAGGATGACAGTCATTTGTACCATTTCCAAGGGAGACACGAATGTTTCTGAGGCAGGCAGGGCACGGGGGTCAGGACAGGAGACGGGGTGGGGCAGCTAAAGTGCAGGGCTGGGGCCGTGCTCACAGAAGCTGCAGGAGCCTGAGGGACTGTAGGAGCGCGCTGGGCTCTGCGGCCGCCAGGTACTGGCAGCAGAGCCAGTCCTCCAGCTCCACCCCGCGCCTGCGGTCCACGGCCTTCTCGGCGAACTTCATCATCATGAGGGCGCGCTTCATGTCGATCCAGTTGTGCAGGGTGCCGCACAGCGCCTCCTCCGAGGTGCCCCGCTGCTCCACCAGCTCCCGCCGCGGCCCCCACAGCAGGCACTGCAGCACGCGCTTGGCCTCGCCGATGCGGATGCGCTTGCCCGGGTCGGCCTCCAGCAGCAGGTGCGCGAGCTGCTGCAGGCCCCGCGAGTAGAGGGACAGGGTGGGCAGCGGCGGCAGGTCTTCCTGCCGGTAGTCCTGCTCCCACAGCTGCGCCCGCACCTCGAACGGGTTGGGCTGGTGGAGCAGCTCGTAGATGAGGATGCCCGTTTGGAACTCATCGAACTTGCTGTACTGCGAGGCAGACACGATCTCAGGGGCCAGCCGGGCCTGGCTCTTCTTCTGCTGCAGGTTGGCGGTGCCTCCTGGCTTCTGCTTGGCCTTCAGGAAGTTGCTGATAATGAGCCGGGGCAGGTGCTTCTCACTGGGCACCCTCTGACAGGCGGGGGCAGTTGGAGGGCTGGGGGTGACACTGGCGGGCAGGGCGGCAGAGGGGCAAGCCGAGGGCGTAGCAGCAGGGGCCGCGCGCGTGGTGGAGGGAGGGGCGCTGGAGGCGGCCGGGGAGGGGCCGGGGGCGGCCTGGGGGGTGCAGTGCACCAGCAGCAGGTTCTCCAGGCACAGGTCTCGGTGGATGACCCGGTGCTCCTTCAGGTGCTCCAGCCCATTGCACAGCTGCAGCAGCAGGAAGCACACCCGTCGCTCGTACGCCTCGGGCTCAGACTGGTGGCTGCTGGCTGAGTCCCGCACGAAGTCAGAGGCGGTCTGGTGGGGCACCTCCCGGGTGATGACCACCACGCAGTCCTGCTCCTGGGCAGGGGGGTGAGAGGCCAGGGCCGGCGCAGGGTCCTTGGGCACGTCAGGAGAGGCAAGCATGCTGGAGGGCACGGAGGCCACGAAGTGGCCGCAGTCCTGCTGGATGTTGAAGTGCACGGGCACCGACGGGCTGCAGTACGAGGCCATTTTGGGCTCAGGGGTTTTGCAGATCTGTGGGGACAAGGAGGAGTGAGGTCAGGAGCGGGACCCGCCATCTGTTCAACAGATCGTACGGGGACAGTAGGAAACCCCCACGTGAAAAGTGAACTGAAACTCTTCCTTCACGCCACACACATGCATGAACTCAAAAGTGTCACACAGACTTAGGTGTAAAAGCCCAAACACACATTTTAGAAGAAAACACAGAAGAGAAGCTTTTAGACCTTGGGTTGAGCAAAGGTTTCTGATTCCACACCAAAAGCATGGAACATAAAAGAATCGATAAACTTGACTCCATCAAAATTCAAAACTTTTGTGCTCGACTGGTATGGCTCAGTGGTTGAGCATCGACCCAGGATCCAGGAGACTGAGGTTCAATTCTCCATTAGGGCACATGCCTGGGTTGCAGGTTCAATCCCCAGTAGGGGGCATGCAGGAGGCAGCCGATCAATGACTCATCATTGATGTTCCTCTCTCTCTCTCTCCCCCTCCCTCCTTTCCTCTCTCTGAAATCCATAAAGATATACATTTTTATAAAAATTCAAAACTTTTGTGCTTCAAAATATGTGTAAGAAAACAGAAAGGCGAGTAATAGACTGGGAGAAAATATGTGCAAGACTCGTATCTGATAAATGATGTGTATCCAGAATTTACAAAAAACTCTTATCACTCAGTAATAAGATAAACTTCCCAATCAAAACGTGGGGCAAAGATACTAATAGGCATTTCACCAAAGAAATATGTAAATGACTGTAGGCATATGAAAAGATGTTCAACATCATGAGTCATTAGGGAAATGCAAATCAAGCCCACAATGAGATAGTAGCTGACGCCCACTAGAATGGTTGTAAGAAAAATGACAGACAATAACAAGTGTCTATGAGGATGTGAAGAAATGGGAACACTCATGTATTGCTGGTGGTTTGTAAAATGGTACAGTCATTTTGGAGCATAGCTTGGCAATTTCTTAAAAAGTTAAACATAAAATTGTCATACAACCCAGCAAGAGTGGGGTCCCTGAGCAACAACATGCAGGGTGGCCTCCTGGTATTGGAAGGAAGACCCCCCTCTGCCCACGGTGTGGGCTGGACAAATTCTCAGGAAGCTAAATCAGAGCTAACACAGGCAGTCAACCTTGCTGTCCACCCCTCGAACCTCAATCAACAGCTACCTGACAGGGGCTGTGCTTGACTGTGGGGGTGTACCCTCTTGGGGAACCTTAGGGGCAGATGCAGGCCCTAAGCCTCTGGGCCTTGGCCACATTCTCTGAGGCTGCCCTAGTTTCTAGACCCAGGTAAATAGGCAACGCCTGCTAGCTGGCTTGACCTGCAGGGCTGATTTCAATGAAACTGCTATGTGGAAACTGCTGTGTGAGTCAGAGCAGCTGAAAGGAAACAGAAAGCTCTTCAGGGTCAGGGAACCCAAAGGGCCAAAGGCACCCTCTGAGCTGAACAAAGGAACAAACAGGTGATCTCAACCTCCTCTGGGGAATCCCCATAACCATCTCTTTCTGTCTCTTCAGCATCTTCTACTAATGTCAGCGCCAGCCACCTGAAGACCTTTAGGCACACTAATCCTCACTGGGCCGCCACACAACCGGGAAGCCCTGAGCCAGACACCGTAGGCCTCAAGTTCCCTGTAATTACACTGAAAGGGGCTGAAGATGGTCTGTGGTCTCCTCTCTCAAAGGCTATTGTGCAGCCTCAGCCACGTTCTATAGAAAGGTGAGGATCAACCTGTAATCCCCAGAAGAAAGGCATCTCACATTTACCCAGAAAACACCATCCTGCGAACAATCCCAAAATAACCCTTGGGGCTGCTTCGCTGCTGCACTCAGGTGACTACAGTGGTCACAATACGCCAGGATGCTCACAGGTGCTGTTTTTAGAAGTTCCATGCTAAGTACCTTTTCACAGAGACTTATTTATATTGCAGCTATAGAAACCTTCTCAGCACGAAGCCTGGGATAAAGGAGTTTAGCCTCTTGGGAAACTTTTATCAAGGTAATTGGGAGGAGGGGGAGGTAGTACATTAATCTAGTGATCTCTCTGTAGTAGAACTGGAATAGAAATAAAAAAGAAGTGCATTTATCCCAGACATCGGTTCTGATTACGCCAGCAAACATAATTTTGGAATATATACCTAAAGGGCATTGTTGCAGGCTCTTTCTTATTTTAGCCCACCCAACTATCTTTAGCTTTTAAATGGCTGACTTCTGGAACACTATTAAACTAAAGAAAATTTTGGGAGAGGGGAGTCCCCACAAATAGTCTCGCATATAAATACCAACCACGGTGTATAGGCCTGTCTGCTATGGGTATGTGGGAAACGCGGTACTGATGTTGGAGTCCCTCCCCTCCAGTGAAGGCGTACCAACCACACAGACACGTACTGAACTCCTGTAAGTGTGAGGCCCTGTGCCTACTCAGCACTTTACACAATGTCTCATTAAATCTCAAACCACCAGAGGAGGTGGATGGTACTACAGAAGAGGAAACTGAGAGTCTAAGAGGTTAAATTATTTGCTCAAGATTATACAACCGAGAAGTATTTGAGAGGTCAAAGCATGGGCCTTAGTGTGAAAGACCTTGGTTTAAACATAAACTCTGCAAATACTGATAAGTTACAGTTGAGTCTGGTTACTTGCAGCAGTTCTGTTCTAAGCAGCCACGAACACTGAATTAGTGAGGACTGAACCACTTCTCCCAGGGGAAATGCAATGGGAAGTTCTAGGGAGCCTCGGGTCACAACATTTTCATTAACTGGCCAATATGTAACCTTGCTTTATGTGGGTTTCTGTTTAAAGATGCCTTATTAATAGGTATTGTTGATTCATTAATGAGGAACTCATGGCCAACAACGCTATGCTCATGCCTGAACAAAGTTGACTTAATACCCTTCAAAAGGCACGCCATAGCCTTCTTGCACTTAGGAACACTAGATAGGACTTCAGTGCTCAGCTCAGTCACTTAAACAGCAAAATCACCACCTATAAGCACAAAAATGTGAAGAACGAAGCACTAACCAGACCATGAAAGGGACACTGTTGACAGTGTGAGAGCTGAAACAAAGCAGAGCACTCCCCTGTGCCACCTCAGCTGGGATTCTGCATGTCGGGTGACTCAAATCCCCCCACTCTGTGCATGTCCAGAATTACCACAAAAGTGCTACAAGTATTCATTTGGGTTACAGATAAATTTTAGCTGTGAATTCACAACACAGAATCTACAAGTAATGAGGATTGAATGTATCTCAAAGTCTGCTTTCTCCTCTGTGTATGGGGCAGTGACAGCTCCTTCCTCACAGGGCCACCGGGAGCATTAAATGACACAGCACGGGTGTGGCTTTCAGCACAGCGCCTCACCCAGGTGAGCTGACGCTGGGAAAGGTTGCTATGGTGATTGCTTTGGCTGCATCCAAGCTCAGTGCACAGTCCAGAGCTGGCTGTAGGTTATTGTATCAGCCCGAGGACGCAGCTGCCCGGGGCCTGGGAAGTGTTTCCAAGGATCCCTTTTCTCAAGGGTATCAAAGGCCTGTGCCCAGCAAACACTCCCACTGGAGCGGCTGACAGTTTGCACAGAGATGTAAATGAAGGAGCAGAGAAAATGGCAACTGGGCTGGACGTGGTTCAAAAATCAGTGAGCCGGTCCTCTGGCTGCAGACAGCTGTGTGGAGGGACAGGGGACAGGAGGGGGGGCAAGAGGCTTCCTTCCCATCTCCATCTGCCCCCACCCCCTCATTTCATTTTCAGGGGTCTGCACTTGGGTTTTGACTCAAGACATTCACACAAACCTTTGATTCAGCTCAAATTTCAAACGTTTTGTTGAGCCAAGTCTCACTTTAGACTTTGCAGCCCGGGCCTCATTCACGGTTGAGAATCTGGGCTAAGTCACGTCTGTTAAATAAAAAAAGGCCCAGCCGGCTCAACGCAGGCCCCTAATTACTCAACTGAAGTTCTAGTTGACTGAGACATGAACTGGCTTCGAAACCTCACACGGAGCTAATGATTTTTTTCTGCCATTTACGCGTGGAGCAGGGCTACGGAGCCGCCTTCCCTCCTCGCTGCTGCAGGGCGCTGCGCCCCAGAGCCAGGGCCCAGCATTAGGGGGAGCAGGTGCGAGCCTGCCTTTGTGCACGCGACTCCCCACCAAGGCCCCTGCTTCCCAGGAGCACATGGAATGAGCTCCGCAGCAGACGGGCTTCGGCTGGGGGACCCGCTCCCCCCCTCGGATTCCAGACGACCGTACCCGTCTAGACTGCGCAGCTAGTGAAGCGGAACAGCTGCGGAAGGACGGGCCACCCCCCGCCCCCCATCTTCAGGCCCGGCGACACATGCAAATGGATATCAATGTTCCCCAGACTCCCAGCACTTCAAACTCTCCCCGAACTTTCTTCTCAGCGGTGCAGAGGTAAATCCTTGTGCGGTCAAATGTGGGGCGAAATCCGATGGCAGATACCCTGGCCTGTCTTCCCGGTTCCTTATGGTTCACATTTCTACCGAAATGAGAGGCAACGCTTGCCTCTAACACCCTCCGGGAAAGCGGAATTTTCTGCATTGCTCTTCAGAGAATGTAGCTGATGCTACATTATTACAGGAGGTTCTAAAATGCAAGGTGCACATCACAATCACATGTATAAAAGCCAAACCCTGGCAGGTCTTGGGCCAGGTGGCCCCTTGGTTCTTCGCAGTAAGGTCACATCACTTTAACCCACGGGCAAGAGGGAGTACGCCTCATCCACCAGGCTCTTTCCCTCTCACAACGGAGAGGTCTGCTGTCTCTGGACACTGGGTGAGTGCCCAGGTCCAGCCCAGGAGACCAGGAGCATGACTGATGCACTTGAACCAGAAAGGTGGATGCAGAGGGAGGCCTCACTGCTCCCTTTCTCAGGTGCTCTGGGGCCAGCGAAAATGAACTTCCCAAAGGCGCCTCCATCCCCTTGGCCTTCAGGGATCTCACATCTATATTCCTTTCATTGGGTGGATACAGATCCCTGGCTCTGGGCTGAAGGTGGTAACAGGCTAATCATGCTCAGCTCAGGGAGGATCCACTCACTTCTTCCTCTACTGGATACAGCATCATCCCAACAGGAAGGGAAATGCAGGGATTGTTTCTATTGTTTTTTTAATTGTAGTTGGGGGAGTAACAGGGAAGAGCCCTTACCAAGAGAGGAGCTGCTGGGGTTAGATATAGAAAGGGAATGAAGTTCAGGAAATCCACAGACTCTCATTCTGGACACTTGCATTCTCTTCCATCTAGTGCCTGCGGTCTTGGCCACACCCCTTAGTCTTTTGAGGGCCTTGATTTCTGTGGAATAACTGGATCCTCATATTAGCCACCCCCTCCCTAGTTTTTTCATAGGAAGGCAGCAAGTAATTATATATAGTTCTTTGAACATAGAAATCAATGGTTCCCAATTGATATTTTATGATAGTATCACCATTTTTTTTTTTTAAGTGAATTTTTTTTTTTTTTTTAAATATATCTACTGATTTCAGAGACAGGAAGGGAGAAGGAGAGAGAGATATAGAAACATCAATGATGAGAGAGTCACTGATTGGCTTCCTCCTGCATGCCACACACTGGGAATTGAGCCTGCAACCCAGGCATGTGCCCTGACTGGGAATCGAACCATGATCTCCTGGATCCTAGATCGAGGCTCAATTGCTGAGCCACGCCTGGTCGGGCCCCAATTTCTTAAAAGAAAAATCTCAGAGTAAAATTCATTGCAATTCCTTGTCTAATAACTATAATATTTTTTAAAAATTTTCACTCATAAGTAGGAAGCTGCCCCATCAAGGCTATTTCACTATTTACATTTTTTCTAATGGAAATAAAATATCTTGGGACAGGTGATGGCAAAAGAGAGCTCAGGGTTCCCCTCCTCATTCCCAACAAAAGCCTACATTTATAGAAGGCCATAGACCCATCAGATATTCAAGGGAGATATTCAAGGGACACTTAAAGAAGATGAAGAACAAAGTCATACAGAAAGACCTGAGTCAGTGGCCAAGATCAAAGTGGCCAGATATGTGCAGACACTCAACAGCTGGCTCAGAACTGTACCCCAAGAGAGTAGTGGGGTGTGGTAGCAGCAGCCCTGGTCCAGTGGCAAAGATTGAAGAGCTGTGCTACCTTGGCCTAATCACTTCTCTGAACTTCATTTTTCTTAACTGACATGATGGTAGCATAGGCTTTGGAGACGACAAAGCAGCCCAGCCACCAGCTACCTATGGGCAAATTACTTAATCATTTTAAGCTTCAGAGTCCACATCAGTAAAACCTACCTCCCCGGTGAGGATTCAAGGTCATGTAGCTAACGCACCCAGAAGAGTCTAGTTGTACAGTGAATGCTCAATCAATGCGCTTACTCTTACTATTCAAGATGATGCCTAGGTCTGACTCTTCTTCTGGCTCTATTTGAAGAATAATATTGAACTGCCCATCTTCTGCACTAGATTATAAACTCCATAGGAACCTTATGTCCACCTTTCTATACTCAGACCTTGACAAAATACCTGGCATATAGTAAAAACCCACAGAATAAATGAACTCTTGGTTGCATTAAAAGGCAACCGTTTTCTTAATCCAACTAGATCACATAAATTCATGCCTGAAAGCACAGAATGAATCATCTACTTATAGTACAAATCTCACTACACCATGCCCTTCGCCCGGGAGAGAGTAAGATGACTGAGCGTTAAGTGTTAAAAGGAACCTTAGGACTCAACCCTCCTCCTGAAGCCTGGAGAGGTGGGAGGACCAGCTGGCTGTACTGCAGAATAGGAGGGGTGGTACCTACTTTCACAGCGTAGGTGCTGCCAGGGTCCTCGGAGCAGGTGGCGCAGTAGTAAATGGCATCCCCCGAGTCACAACAGGGCTTGTTGCAGGTCAGCTTGAAGAGCGACCAGTTATTCTCATTGAAGTGCAGCTCCTTCTTCTGGCCGCCCATGAAAAGGTCCTCACACTTGGCCACGAGGCGGACCAGGGACTGGGCATAGAGCCCCACCAGCTTGGCGTAGGTGCCCTCCTTGCTGCTGATGCTGCTCAGGAGGCTGTGGAGCTGAAGCTGGGTGCTGCTGGTGGAGGCCTGGCTGGCCACGCTCAGCTGGGAGGACGAGGCCGAGGGCACCCCTTTGCACTGGAGGCTGGGGCTCCCGCTGCTGCTTCTGCCGCCTGCCAGCCCTGGCGCTGGGACCCAGTGGCCATTGCCTTTGAAAGTTTTCTCCAGAGGCTCAGAGGAAGAGAAGGCGTGATGGTGGCGGTTCCCGTGGCCCGAGGATAAGTCGAAGCGGGACTCCTGATGCGCACAGACGTTGATTTCTGAGTGGCTGAGGTTCAGCTTGGGACTTGCCGCTCTTGGTTTGGGGGAGCCCTGGCTCCAGAAGAAGCCATCGGGCGAAGAGGCCGCCCGGCTCACTAACTTCTTCTGGGGGAGAGGTGGGGGCTGCAGGGGGCTGCTGGGAGACACATTCTCAGTGGAGCCCGAAGAGAACAGAACAGGAGCAAAGAGCTTCTTCCCACTATTGGTGGGTGAGTGAGTTGGCTCAGACGATGGGCCTGGAAATGAGAAACAAAAATAATTAGGCTGGAGGTCAACGCCATTCAGTTCCAGAGCCCTGTGGCTTCTATCTCTATCTATCTATCTATCTATCTATCTATCTATCTATCTATCTATCTATCTATCATCATCTATCTATCATCTATCTATCTATCATCTATCTATCATCATCTATCTATCATCTATCTATCTATCTACCTATCTATCATCTATCCATCCGTCCTAAAGCAATTGATTTTATTTTTACCTTAGTTAAAGTGACAATATATGCACAATGAAAATAATTTAAGTGCAAAAATGGTGTACAGTAACAACAAAGTCTTCCTCCTACCCTGGCCCTCAGCACCCAGGCCCTCTCATTAGAGGAAACCACCATGGCAATTTCTCTCGCATCCTTCTGGAGATACACCAAACCAACCAACCAACTAACCAACACCGTGCACACATTTACATGAGGCAGAGCAAAGTTGCCCATTGTTTGGAATACTGCTTTTCTTCACTTGATGTGACACCTTAAAGATATTTCACAGAAGATGTACAGATCTATCTAGTTCCACTTGACAGCTATCAATTATATATCATCATATGCAAGTATCACAATTCATTTATCCAGTCCCCTCTTGATGGACACTGAAGTTGCTTTTGATATTTTGCAAACAATGCTGCAATAGCAACCACAAACCTGAGTGTGTGGTGGTTTGGCTGGATTTTTTAAAAGTCAGTTTATAGAGGGTACAATTTACCTACAGTAAAATTCCCCCCTTTTATCATGTAGTTCTATGAATTTTGACAAGCACTGTAGTGGCTCAGGGGCAGGGCTGGCCCACAGGCATTTTAGAAGGCACAAGAACATGATTTTATTTAAAAAAACCACAAAACCACACAGATCTCAAGGGAAAGCAAGTGGTGCCTGTGGAAACTGATTCTAGTCGGGGGAAGGTTCCACATGGTCACAGGTTTCCAGAGAGCATGGGGACATTCATAAACATCCCAGGTGATGAGATGAAGGGCTAAGCTAGGCAGGGCGGAGACTGTACTTTACTCTTTGTATCAATGTATAAAATGGAGGCTTTACAGTGAAACAGGAACTCAGGTACTAAAATATGTAAGAAAAAGCTATGGACATTGGAAACAAGAAAGGGCAAAGGAAATAACACTCATTTCTTTTATTCTAAAAAGGGACTGGAAGATGTAGCCATTACTTTAATAACAGCTTTTAGGGGGATTAAAAAACAACATTAACTGTATTCATAGATTGGAAAATGCATCCTATAAACCTGAAGGTTAAAATGTGAAGGAAATATGGGTCTTAGATTCAGGGGAACAGGTGCTTATGCTGTGCACCCCCCATTTAGTTCACTGTGCCTGTGCCACTCCCCGCCTTAGCAGAATGGGGAGAGAGGAGCTATAACACACACATAGGCCAGAGGCAAATGTGGGAAGGCCCGAAGGGAAGCAAACTGCCTGTCGGTTTCAATGCCACCTCACTCAGATGCACATGACCCTTCGAGGGCTGCTCCTGAATAGTTAATAACCTGCTATGCCCACACTGAGTCCCTCTCTGCTTTCTCTAACCCAAATGGGGACGGAATGGGCCCCTAAGGACAAGCACTGGCACCAAGCCCTTCAGACCAACAATGGTCCATAAGGAGGAGGGACCCTCTCAGGAGCAAGGTCAATGATGTCCTCAGGGCCCACCTTGCCTGGGGCAGGGTGGGCGCTGACATCCAGGCTCCAGCCTCCCTGCCACCCAGACACACACCCGCAGTGTGTTGACAGCAGGGGGCCTCCTGCCCAGTACAACCCTGAGTGCAAAGCTCACCAAGTAGGTGCACACAGCTGGTTGAACACAGGAGCCAGGAACCAACCTGTTCATGCAAGAGAAGCCCTACGCGGCAGAGCAAGGCTGTCACGCCCCGCGCCCACCACCACCTTTCCTGGTCCAGTACCTTTCCCGACTCCACCATCTGTCACAGGAGGAAGCACAATGCCTTGCATGCTCCCATGTGGTCAGTAGGCTGTCACTCCTGCTTCCCAGTGGTTTCTCGACCCACCTCGCCCTGCTGGCTAATGACAGGAGGGGCCCTGCCAGCAAGGCTGAATGAGTGATCTCTGTCCCTTCCAAGAGGGGGCAGGTTAATTATAAACCAAGCAGCAGCGGCACAGTGGGGACCAGCCCACCTCACACGCCCATGCACCTTCTCCCCTCGACAGTCAGAATGGGGCACACAAGGAACAGCCAGCCCCAGAGAGGAGGGAGATCCTATCGCAGCTGATCTCAGCAGGCTGGAACCCTGGAGTCCTTAGGGCCCCCACCCCACGCTCCCCAGGAAGAAGCTTTTCTCCTCCAAGGGCTCAGTCAGCAATGGGGACAGACAAGGCTGGGATGGTGAGTCACTTCCTCCCCTCCTTCCTCTAGCTGCACAGGCTGAGGGAGGGGGCGGGTCACTTACTAGCTCACAGGCTACAAAAGGAAGGAGCGAGACCCCTTGCGTATGGGGCTCTCAAAGGACACTAAGCCTCAGGTGACGGACGAGCAAGCGGGCAGAGGGGAACCACGTCCATTCCCTGGCCTGTGCATTCCGGAGAGAAGCCCACCCCACCGAGCTGTCGAATCCTCAGTTTATCTATTACCCAAATGCAGAAGACGGGGAATGAGGAGAGAAAGGGGGTGTGATGAGAATCCCCGATAAATGCTTTAATCAGAGCCTCCAGCCACAGGGACAGCCTGCCTCTGGTCAGGGCTCCTGGTCCCCAGTCCGGCGGCCAAGGGAGTTCTGACAAATCATGTCCTTGGCTATTCCCCTCTGTAAGTCTTGTGCTTATTTTATTTCCCAATCCTTATTAGTCTTTCTTCTTTTTTTATTTATTTATTAAATATATCTTTATTGATTTCAGAGAGAGGAAAGAAGAGAGAGAGAGACAGAAACATCAATGATGAGAGAGTCATTGGGGATCGAGCCCGCAGCCTGGGCATGGCCCTGACCGGGAATCGAACCACGATCACCTGGATCCTAGGTTGAGGCTCAACCGCTGAGCCGCGCCCCACCGGGCAGTCTTTCCTCTTTACCTCCCTTGCAAGGTTCTCCTTGATGCCTCCAACATGCCCCTTTCTGCTTCTACTCTGCTCTGAGGGATGAACCCATAACCAGCTGTTGACCTGCCCCAGTCGAGTTTCCTCATTTAAAAATGGACTGGATGGCATCACCGTGAAGGTCCTTCCAGCACTAATAGTCTATAATTTCAGCCACTCCCTCCACTTCCTAACATGCATTTTGTCTCAAAGCTGCGCCTGAAATAAAATACCTCTACGCAGATGGTTATGTTGCTCCAACCTCTCCCCTCCCTATTTCTTCCCACAGCTGCCGATAGTGACCTCTCCAATCTGTAAGGACAGCAGGAATCTTAAAAGAAAATAATCTGTCCACTCTTATTCCACAGATTGCTAAAGGGAATCAAGAGGTTCAGCTTTAGTATAAAAAAATAACTCATGAGCTCAGACAGTGGGAAGGAAGCGACTTTCTCTGGCTTTCCTGGGGACTGTGGGGACTGCGCTGGTCAGTGGCCCTGATCAGAACCATATCCCATAACCACTTAGGCAAGGAGTACTGGGTATTAGGAGGAGGTGTGGCTTCAAGGATCAGCCTATGTGTTTGTCACCCAACCATTCCCACATAAGGCACGTTCTCATCAGAGGACAGCGCTGCAGAAGGATGCTCCCCAACCATGCACTTCCCCAGCGGGTGTCAAGGAGCTACTTACAGGGACCTCACCAGCTGAGTGCAGCTCATGGCCCGTCTGAAGTGTGCACTTTACCCTCTTTACACTGGCATGTTGTGCATTTTATAGTCAGAAAAAAATACTGCTTAGTTCTGTAGCAGGTACACACCTTCCCACACGAGGCATCCTTCTGAACTGATGAATCCTTGAAGCTGTTCTCCAGATGTGGAACCAGAGCTGGTGAAAAGCCCATAATTCACTCTGATAGCCCCTAGTCCCCTCAGGACCACATGACATCTTAGTTAATATTCTTGGGGCTATTCTGAAACAGATGCCAACATGTGGCCCTTCTCGATGACACTGATTTCTCCACCATGAGTCACGCAGTAGCTGTTATCTCTGGGATTAGGGCCACCCCTAAGGACCCACTCTGACTCTGTCATTTTCTTGACTCTTACATGGGGAACCTCCTCCTAAACCAGCAGCTAGATCCTTACTATTTGCAGCAGCTGCCACACTCTGCGTTTACAAGAGCCAAAAGAAGAGGGAACACATATGTCTCGACACCTAAAATAGTTTCAGAATTCACAGGCAAACCACTGGTTCAGAAAATTGTGCCTAAAAACATCCTGAAAAACTTGGGCCAACTGCCCATATTCTTAGGACTCAGCTCCAACGGCACATGAGACGAATTCAAATACAGGTGCACCTTGAGAGACTGCGAGTTCTGGTCCAGACCACTGCAATAAAGCGAGAACCGCAACAAGGCAAGTGGTGATCTTTTTGCTGGTGGGAGGTCTGGCATTCAATTTGTAAAAATGCAACACCTGTGAAGCGTAATAAAGCGAAGTACAGTAACATGAGGTATGTCTGTATATCTTCATTTAATGCTGGCATTAGATCACTCCGTTTCCAAATTCTGGCTCACAATTAGGGTAAAAAAGGGGTGAGAATGGAAAATACTTTTCTGGGAAGTCTGCCTACATCATAGTTACATCATTGTAGGTGTTTAAATGATTTTGCATGCTAATTGGGCCGGAGAGCTCCAAATCCCAGCTCCTAAGTTTTCCTCCCAATTTCCAATTCTGCAAGTAAAGTCAGTGGCTGACTACAGAGAACACCTCCGCAGCTTTAATTCTCACGCTTCAGAGAAGAGATATTTCCAGTGGGAAACTACCCATCACACATGGTGCACTGGGTGGGACCGTAAGAGAGCCTAGGGGAAGGTACACCAGTGAGTGCCGTTATATTTAGAGAGAAGCCAGGATTTCAATAGCCG